AAAAGATAAAAATTTATATATTGTAATATAAAAAATAAAACATCTCAAATTCAAAAAATTAAAGGAGAAACGGCTACCTTTTGCCGATTATTGTAAAGCGTCAAATATACAATATACTAAGTATACCGATATTTAAAATTTTTTTAAATAATATTAACTCCTTTCAAGATTCCCTTGTTTTAAAATAAAAAAGAAAAAAAACTGACTCATCACGTGATGGGACTTACAAGACAACAGTCCGTAGAAATGGCTCCACAATTTAGGGGTGATTATTATATAGTGTCAAATATACAATATATTAAGTGTACCGATATTTAAAATTTTTTTAAGTAATACAAACTCTTCCTCCAAGATTTTCTTATTAAAAACAATTTTTTTTTTAAAAGAGAGAAATTGACTCATCACGTGATGGGACTTACAAGACAACAGCCCATAGAAATAGCTCCATAATTTAGGGGTGGTTATTGTAAAGAATTAAACATACAATGTATTAACTATACTAATATTTAAAATTTTTTTAAATAATACTGACTCCTTCTTTCAAGACTCCTTTATTAAAAATAATTAAAAAAAAGGATAGAGAGAGAATCTGACTCAGCACGTGATGGGACTTATAAAACAACAACCCATAAAAATGGCTCCTTAATTTAGGGGTGGTTATTGTAAAGCGTCAAATATACAATATATTAAGTGTACCGATATTTAAATTTTTTTAAGTAATACTAACTCTTCCTCCAAGATTTTCTTGTTAAAAACAATTTTTTTTTTTAAAAAAAAGAGAGAAATTGACTCATCACGTGATGGGACTTACAAGGTAACAGCCCATAGAAATAGCTCCATAATTTAGGGGTGGTTATTGTAAAGAATTAAACATACAATGTATTATTTTCAAAAAAACATACAATGTATTAACTATACTGATATTTAAAATTTTTTTAAATAATACTGACTCCTTCTTTCAAGATTCCTTTGTTAAAAACAATTTCAAAAAAAAAGGACAGAGAGAGAAACTGACTCAGCACATGATGGGACTTACAAGATAAAAACCCAGAAAAATGGCTCCTTAATTTAGGGGTGGTTATTGTAAAGCGTCAAATATACAATGTATTAAGTATACCGATATTTAAAGTTTTGAGACCCGAAAATGCAGGATTGATTGGCAGTTTTGACAACATCTCGACGACCCATTATGTGGCCTCCACTAGTGGAGGTCACAAGATGAATGATCTGAATATTGTCAGGACCGCCAGTCAGTCCTGACAACCAGTTTTTCGTAAACTTTTTTTAAGTAATACTATTACTAACTCCTTCTAACATTCCCTTGTTTAAAAAAAAAAAAAAAAGAAAAAGGAAAAAAGAGAAACTAACTCTAGCACATGGTAGGACTTGCAAGACGATAGCCCATAGAAATGGCTCCACAATTTAGGGGTGGTTATTGTAAAGTGTCAAATATGCAATATATTAAATATATCGATATTTAAAGTTTTTGTAAAATAACATTTACACCTCCTTTTGAGATTTTCTTGTTAAAAAATAGAAAAAGAGGCTCCGCGTGTGACGGGACTTATAAGACAACAAACCATAGAAATAACTTTACAGTTTAGGGGTGGTTATTGTAAGCGTCAAATAAACAATAT